TCTCGGGAGGGCGGGAAACAGAAGTGGTCTCTCAGCCAGCTATCTGGCTACATATTAAAAGCTTGGCCGTTTCTACCTTTCCCTTTAATTTGATAAAATTATTTTGATGCAAAGTGAAAAATCTTGAAAAATCCTGGAAATCAATTTCCCTCTGTGATTAATAAAGCATTTTTGAATTGAATTGAAAAGTCCATTTGTTTTGGTTTGGAAGAAAGAAAACTAATCAAGCTGCCACAGCTATTCAAGCATAAAGAAGCTATGTTTGATTTTGACAGACGTTCTAGTTGATTTTTGTAAACCTTTGACCTTCAAGTACACGCTAAAAGGAGTTTAGTCATCATGCAAAAGAAAAAAATCATGTAATAAACCAAAAATAAGATATAAAAGTCCTGGCATGAAAATATGAGAGCTGTGATGATAAAAAGCAAACTTTAAATGGAAGAAATGTCTGACAAAAATAGCTGCTGGTTAGCATCAGTTAGCGCTTTAGCCTAAAGCTAATAGAATATTTAAGATGGATATAAAGCTTTTTGCTTTCTAAATTTACCTAAAGAACATGCTCATTTAAGAGTCTTAATAAAATATGAATCAATACAGATCCCCCTCTAAAAGTGATCACCATTATTTTTAATTGGCTGCACATCCTGTGTATTACCTTTTGTCAACACAATAAAAGCAGCTGATTTGCCTATGCAGTGAAAACAAATGATATCCTCTTTCAACACAAACTCATTTTTCATTTGAAATTGCCCAGCACAGCATAAAACACACCCACCACAGGTGTTTTACGCCTAAACACAGTGGCTCAGCAGAAACTCCTGACATTATGGGCTTTTATGAGTTCAGGAAGTTTGACCAGACTTCCAGGCTTATGTTTTTATTTAAGAGGGCGGGATCGGCCTCTTGGTGACTCAAATTAACTCTGCGTCAGTGGTGATTTCTTTTGGAACAAAAGAAGGGGCATAATTTTCTTACTATGAAGATAAGAGTAATTTAGTTTTACTAACCATCTGTATTAATTATGTAAAGGACGGGATAATGTGCCAGGACATAATTAGTGTCAGACTAATTTTTATGGTGTTATTTTAATATCAGCATGTTTCCACATTCACGGCCTTGCTGCAATTTGTTTTGGTTTTTTCATTTTTAAAGGAACAAAAAAAAGTGAAAATAAACATTATGTCACTGCTTCATATTTACTGTTTGCAGTCCCAAACATTTAAATTGATACGTAATCCTGCAGCATTAAAAGTCTGTATTTGTTTTCCCACAGAATAAATGATCAAAGAGCTCTTTCTAGACTCAGCCCGTTGCAGTGAAGTTTAGCGATCACACAGAGGCAGAGATGCCAATTTCTCCACCAACAGAGGCCTCAATGGACCAGAAACTCTTACTCGTTGCTATTACTACCTCTCCCTCTCTCTCTCTCTCTCTCTCTCTCTCTCTCTCTCTCTCTCTCTCTCTCTCTCTCTCTCTCTCTCTCTCTCTCTCTCCCCCCCCCCTCTCTCTCTCTCCCTCTCCCTCTCTCTCTCCACCCACATGAAACACAAACTGCAGTATAGAAACAACTCCGTGACTTTTCTCAAGGGGTTATTAAAGCTGCTCGAGGAAATACGGGAAATCGCTGTTTAATGTGGAACTATACGTTACGGGCAAAGGGAGCACAGATATGAAAGTTTATGACAACACTTTAACAATGAAGGAAATCTCCTGGAAAGCATTCAAAAAATCCAAACTCGTAAAATCAAAGTGTGCAAAAACAGAAAATTCCAGAAGGGAGTGATATGACATGATTCTCTGGCTTTGTGTCATCTCACATTATATATGTTACATAGAAAAAATATGATTTTTCTATGTGTTCTTCTAGAAACAGAAACAAATTCCTCTGTATTAAGGGAGCTACAGCCCAGGGGCGTTTTGTCACCAGAAAGTTCCCATAACATCTCAGACCTGCTTTTATCGGCTCCTTAGCCAGAGCAAACCTAATGATGGACAGGATTTTGTGGTCTGAGCGAAGCGATCAATTAAAAGACACACGGTTCGCCGAATTTCTCCCCCGTTGTGAATTTTTTATGGCTCTCAAATAAATCTTGGTCAGTTATTGCTTGATCTTTGATCTCCGTCTTAATGATGAAAACCCACAAAGTGCAAATAAACTGACTCCTTCGTTTCATCCAGCCTGAAGATTTTTCTGACTTCAGGGTTTCCTGATTATCATACGGGCTGCAAAAGCTATAAAAACATATTAAGAAGGACTGATCTCTTAATTGGAATTGCATTTCAGACTGAAACAAGCCTCCATGTTGATAGAAACACAGAGTAATGCTTTCACACCCTGGCAACACCTGTCGGGTTAAGTGACAGTCTATAATTTTCTGTCATAATAGCATTTTGACTGACAACCTGACAGCAAATCACACACTAGGTGACCAGGCGTGTAAACCGTAAACAGTGTTGTGTTTACCGAACAGATGCTTTGCACATGAGAAGAGCGATGGCGTCCCGGGGATTTGCATGAAAGCAAACAATAAAATGCTTCAAGAATTTCTGACAGATGTAAGTTTGTCTCTATGAAGCAATGTGAAAAAAAAATGGTGTCATGGTTCAGTTCCAGGGTGGGGAGAGCGAGCATGTGTCTTTCCTTGCTCTCAGGTCTCTGTGAGATTAGGGGTGTGTGGTTTTAGGGAAGTTTCTGGAAAAATACTAATTTAGGAAAAGTGAGAAAATGAGGGATAAAACCCACGAGACTTGACAGGTATTCATTTGCTGTGGTCACTGTTATGAATGAATGACTCGTGAGTCGTGAATCGATTTCTGTAGAATAAAAGCTCTAGTGCTCCTGTTTCAGGAAGTAGACGTTATCGTGCGATCCAGTTGTCCTCGGAACACGGAATTTCCGAGCAGCAAGCGACCTAACAGGCTCGTTTTGCTTTCCAGCTTCCAACTCGGAAAAAATGGATGCCACCGGTGTTGTTGAGTACTAAACCAAAATAATTATGTAACCAAGTACTATCCACATTATATAATTGTGACCCACATTCCCTTCGACAGTTGCCACATACAACCAGAAAAACGTTTGTAGAAATGTATACACCAGCAAAAGTAAAAACCATAAACAGAAGTCAGTTTTGGTGGCAATGCTACATTTTACAACAATGTAACTATTGATAACAACCATAAACAACTTGCTGTTAAACAGCAAAAATAAGAAAACAGAACATATAAATGAGAAAAAAAAGACGATAACTACTTCCTGGTAGCACCGGGCGCAGCCATCTTTAAATCTGGGATCTCGCAGTCCTCTGAAACCCACAAGCTCGCAGGTCAGACTTCCGAGTTCATTGCATCATTTCCGGCTAACTTATCTCGGAAAAACAAGTTCCAAGGACAATGTTAGCTGGAGGAGTGGGTGGGTGGGCGAGGTGGGCAAAAAAATTGCAGGATTTTGAGTCTCAATCCTTAACTTGCAAGATTTAGATTGGATAGCAGCAACACAACATTACCACTGACTCCATCTGCTCTGCGATGTTGTTGTTTTATCTCTACAAATAACACAAATAACACAAGCCTGAAGGAGTTCTGCCATGTTTTGAAGTTGCTGATGCTAACAGCTAGCTTCTACTTGCAAAGATGTTCTTGGCTGTTTCCTGGACGCTAAATCAAAAACAGCCTTCCCCATCTTTAGCCAAGATGGGTGAGTCCATGAAGGCCAATTTACAGTGTGATGTAGACCTGTGTGCATTTTTCTGACCCGAGTGTTTCCCTGTCTATTTTCTTCAGGCGGTTAATGCAGGAATTAGAGGTAGAGGCCTATTTTCACTCCTTCATGTGAAACTCAGAGTGATCAATAAAAAAAATAAATAAGAAAATAATGGTTTCTCAGTGAGCCTCCTCTTTAAGAACGTCTTAAATAGCAGGAATGCTGAAACTGAGTTGAAGTTGCAGCTGACTGTTGTTTCTGCTCAAAAGCCCACAGCAGAACAGCTCCAATAAAGGGAAAGACCATCCGGTTGTTCAGCGTGAAGCATGGGGAAGGAGTGGCTCCATGGCTCCCACAACGGCAATGCTGAATCATCTCGAAAAACATTCATCTATCTCCGCATGCCAGGGAGGTGGCCTAACCAAATTAGCATGACAGCGTTTGTGTGAGCTCCTTGGAAGTGTGACAGAGAGAATATCAGCTTTCACTGCCAATGTCACTGCTAAAGACGTGGAACAGATCAGTCCTGCAGACAATACAACCCGATGTGATTCCCTTTGTGCATAATCTGCTTTTCGCTCCTTCAAAGTGTTTCAAAGTGAATATTCAAGTTTGTTTTAGAACCTGCAGTCAATAGCTGGCAATGAGAAATAGAAATTATGGGCACACCTATTGGATTATTGCTCAGGGGAGCATTGCATCACATCCTGCCTCTGTTGTTAAAAACAGCACAGCAATGCTCTCACATGCTCGTCACTCAGAAACCTGCCAGTGAGTTTTATGAAAAAGAAGAAAAAGAAAACGCTTATGTAAACCCCTCAGTGGTCTTTATAACGGTAACACATGACTAAAATGACCCTATTGCAGTATTGTGTTGTCAGTAGAGGTAGGAATGTATCTCTGATAAGTCATTCTGTAAATAAAACTGTTTATTTTTTTACTTTAATCAGTGTTTTTTTTACTTTATTATGGGGATTAAAAAACATTGAGAAGCTTTAATCAACGTAGAGAGCCACGGCCTATTATGCAAATGCCCCAAACTAATTTTGCATACTATATATTCTGGTTCCTGATAGGAAAAAATTACACTTTAAACATTTTTCTTTTTGACACCTCACCAGAGTGGTTGCTTAACATTTATTTTCCAAATAACTAATATAAATTCCAAAGCTGGCAGCAAAATCATATACCTTTGTTTTAATTTAGCAGGATGATTCATGACTTTGCGATGCATGGCAGATCAGTAATTATTGTAGTATTACGCAATGACAGTGTGCTGTACTGTGATGTATTTCTCCAGGTGGACCTGCAGCAGAACCCGTGGGAGTGCAACTGTGAAGCAGCTCCGCTCAAGCGATGGCTCGAGGGGCTTAGCGCAGTGGTTGTAGTGGGAGAGGTGGTGTGTCACTTCCCCGAAAAAAACAAGGGTGTAGACCTACGCTCCGTCCCTATGGAGCTGCTCTGCCCTGAGATGGAGCCCCAGGAGGACCAGGACCAGGAGCAGAAGGAGCAGACAGCAACCTCTACCGCTGCAGATGGAGGCGTATCGGTTGGCTACCCCAGCTCAGGACTGGGACCTCTCATCCCTCCAGGGATAGATTCGATCCCTCTGTCGGTGTTAGTGCTCAGCCTGCTGGTGTTGTTTGTCTCTGCATTCTTTGCGGCAGCGGCACTCATCGCCTATGCCCTCAGGAGGAGGGACAAGCTGCCGTTTCGTCGCCAGGGAGAGGTGGACCTGGCTGGCATCCAGATGGAATGTGGAATCTTCACCGAGCAGACTCATCACCATCACCACGGCCTCCCAGAGAAGCCGTCTCTACCTCTGCCTGAACAGAACCACGTCTACGACACCATCCTACCCCCAGAGGCTGCTCCTAAAGGTCCGGACCCGGCTGCAGCCGCGCACATGTGTAGCAACCCAATCTACAAGGACGAGCAGGACGCGGCTGTGCAACAGCGACCGCAGCAGATGTTCATGGCTTCGACGGGCTGTGATGGAGGATACTGCCCTGCAGCAGAGAAGGGGAGGGACTGGGCCCGGGAGGCATCGTCATCTCCCATCAACACGGTGACGGGAGCAATAGGACCGCTTGCTGGCCTCCATGGGAATGGAATTCTGTGCCCAACGGTCATCGACAGCCAGGGCCCCACTCCCAAAGTGGAATTGGTGGACTGCCTCTTCAGACTCCCCACGCCCGACTTCAGAGAGCTGCCAGACAGGTATGCGAGGCCCCCACCCCGTTACCCCCACACCCAGGACTCCAAACATGAAGTGAGACCTGACCAAATGCTTGTGGTCACCACTCCCGGCTCCGCTGCCGGTGGTGGTGGTGGCCATGACAACCAGAACCAGCTTGTTGCTGGAGAGCAGAGACCCAGACTGAAAACCACACCAGACTACATGGAGGTTCTGGATCGCTCTTACCAGTTTTAACACTCCTGTACCTCCCTCTCCCCCTCCTCTTGCTGCCTGTTCTCCTCTTGTCTCCTCACCATCTCCCTCTCTGGTGATGAATCACCCAGAAACAATGACTCCTGTACAGAGGGTGGCTTCGAGAGGAGCCTGTGGGGGAGTGGGACTGCACTACACATTATGTTTATTCCTGGAGCTGAGGTCAGATTTTAACCCCCCTCCCCCCCCACTGGCTCGTAAGTTGGTATTTGGCAAGGATTATCCGATCCGAGATCTCTGCCTGGAGGCAAAACTTCTGCTGCGGTTACCACTGCAGTACTTTTTCTTCTTTCGCCTCTGCCGTCCTGAAGCACGGAGGGTCGGTTTGTCTACCAAGCACCACGTTTAGCAGGTTCATGCTATCACTCTCAAAAGACCTGTGTGGAGATGAGAAGCACCAGCTCTTAACAACATCAAACACAGAGTTGTAAACTATGACAGCCTGTAGGTGAGGAGCGAGCAGGACCAGGATGGAGAAACGACAGAGACAAAGCAAGAAGAAGGGAAATAGCTGGAATTAGCCAAGTGCCTTAGCAATGAACAGCCAGCAGTGTGGTCAGTGCTTATTTTTCTATAAATACAGATCTATTTATCTAAACAAAGAGGTTTGACTACCAATGGATGGGACTCTGGTGGACTACTGAGACTAAAACCAATCAAGAAGAATTGCATTCCCTGGATGAGCCAAAAATAATAGTATTCCCAGTCAGTATCGGAGTTATTCGTATGCAGTTCTGTTTTTCTCCCTCATCTCATCCCTGTTAACTTGATTTTTTTTTTCCCAGTTGAATTCCCGACAGGGCTACGAGTGGGAGTTGTCCAGTAAAAGTTGATTTTCAGAGTGAATTTTGTAAAAAAGGGGGAAAAGATGTGGAAATTAATACATTTTTATTTTTGTTTTTTCATCAAAACAACTGGAGGACGATGCGACAAAGGATGCATTTTGGATTTCTTTCTCTGCCAGACTTAATGAGGCCACATGGACCTCTGCTTCACGTTTTGTTTTGTTTCAGCCGACAAAGGGACAGAGGTATTGAGTTTTAAAAGCTTCTCAAAGGAAAAGTGAACGGAAAACAGGAAAGACAAACAACGGGGCATATAACGACACTTTTTGTTGTTTTATTTTTTGTTTATTAAAGAAAAAAAAGAAACTTCTATCAACTACTGATTAATATCTTTTATGGAGGTACTTTTTATGCTTTCATCTCCTACCAATCGTAGAGGCAGTTGTGAATATATTTATTCTTAGTTTTTGCGTGTTGAAGCTCTCCTGTATGGGATCATGTGACATTAATGTATAGGATGATTCTGCATCTGGTTCAGCCTTCTTACCGCCGACCCACAAATTACAATAAAGGGTGCTACATAAAAATCCTTTGAGCTTGCAGGTATTGTGTGACACACACACACACACACACAACATGCACACACGCTGACCCCTATAAATGCACACTCACTCGCCCACGCCTCCATTGCCTTAACGGTGCATGAATGAAATGGCTTGAGGTATGCTAAGCCTGTAAGCTTGTCTGTGCAGCGTGTTGGAGAGATCAGATGAAAGTTGAGTAAATTTGAGCGCCTGCAGCGTTCCTCACACACCGAGATGAGAGCTAATGGTGGGAGATCTTCCACGTTAATAGTGTAAAATCAATACAATCTATTTGTGAAATGAGGACGTGTGAGGCTGGTGGCCCACGGGGCCAAGGTCACAAGTTGCACCATCTCTCTCCAGCTTGCATAATGATCTTTCCTCCTTTCATCTCTCCATCTGATTCGTTCACCTCTCTCTATTTCCTCACCTCTTTATTCCTCTTGCTCTCCCGCTCACCTTTTGCTTTTGTTCTTTACTCTCTTCTCTGTTCCCCCCTTTCCCTCTTAATGCTCTGGCTGTCATCTCAGCCTCACAGGATGGACGCAGAGAGATGCTGCTCAATATGCAGCTCGGCACACAGGTAGCTCACGCTAAAATGTGTGTGTGTGTTTCTGTCTTTCCTCCTTTCTGCTGGGCTCTTTCCATGCTTCGGTGATGAGTAGCATTCTTCAGCTGCCTCCTCACGCTCAGCGTTCAGAACTCTGTTGCACAGATAATCCCCCTGTGGATGTGTGTGCTCTCGCTCGGGACTGCATGTGTGTGTGTGTGTGCTGAGAGGGGTGTGCCTTTTGTTTGTAGGTGCGTGTGTGTTTCAGAAAGTGTGTGAAGCAGTGCTGTTTGTGCAGCCTCGGTCCTTCCGTAATCCTCTGAGCTGCGTAGTTCACTCATACCATATCAGCCCCATTGTGTCTTCAAACAAAGAAGCCCAGTTAAAACTAAACGCCAGTTAAAGCAACAAATGACTAATTATAGCATCATTTTCTCTGCCCTATTCACACTTTTTTCTCACGTTTAACGCTTCTCACTTCCTCACCCATGGCATGTAATTTTTACAACCCTTACCTGCGTTGGACTGGTTCCAGCTTGCATACGTGTGTGTGTTTTTACACTCCTGTTTGTGTGTTTGCCTGTCTGACAGCTTTGCTGTGGTTCATGTGTTTGGATCCTGTCAGAACTGTCCTGTCACTGTGTGGAAAAAAAAATCATTCATTTCCCAGAGTCAGGGATGAAAGAGTCTTTAGACTTCAAACGCCTGTGGGCCTCTGTGGCTTAGATTGCCTCTTGCTCTTTCTCCACCGCTGTGTCATTTATTCCTTGGGAAAGAAAATAAAAAGAAGCGTCCGTGGTGTCGGTTAAGTGGAGATGCCAGAGACGCGGCAAGGAGCAGGACAATTAGCCTGATTAAACAATGTCATTTTGCGTGATAGATTTAGCTCGAGCTGTGAAAGGTGGATCCTTTCTGAGTGTGTCTGTGTGTGTGTGTGTGTGTGTGTGTGTGTGTGTGTGTGTGTGTGTGTTTATGGTGAAGGCATAAAAACATTATTCTCTGCATAAACATGCAGGGTATTAAAAATGCACAGTCGGGCAGGGTTTGATGTCAGTGAAAAGAGATCTGTTTAAAAGTCATGGTGCATAGCTGCAGAGGCTTTTGGTGTTTTGCCGTGACAAATAGTGGTGGTTGAGCTGGTCATCTTTCACAAAACCCACACAACAAAGGCACCCATAAACATCTGCATCGTTGTACTGCTAGTGCAAAATAGTGTGCATGCTTTTTGGGCACAAATACAAGTTGGAGAGGAAATAAAGTCCATTTAAATACGTACACAAACTACCCGTGCAAGCACGCGTACAAACACGCCGAGCCTGCTGGTGCTGCTGTGCAACGTTGTCTGGTTGCTCTGCATTGCAGTTATCTGCCCCACTCTTCTCTTCTGCTTTCACTTACAGACAATCACCAGCTCTCAATGGACTACATCAGCAAGGGAAATAGTCAGAAGGAGAGCAATACATGCAAAGTGTGTGTGCGTGCACGTCTGTGTGTGTGTGTGTGTGTGTGTGTGTGTGTGTGTGTGTGTGTGTGTGTGTGTGTGTGTGTGTGAGGGAGATAGAGAGGAGAGGGGGAAGAATAAGGATGAGAATGTAGGAAAGGAAGGACTGAAAGAGGACAGGAAGATTTGAGGAGGGATGGGTAAGATGAAAAGGAGGTGAGAAAGATCAGCGAGCGGGTGTTTCCAGGCTTAAGGCTGCTGGAGGACTTGCTCATTTTGTGTGCAAGCTGAGGTACTTGGAGTGTGAATAGACTCTGTACATTTCTGTCTGCTCTCAGACACGCGACGTCACCCGCATGCATGACTTGAAGCTCAATTTGGTGTCTGCCAAACAGATACAGTTAAAAGATGAAGATTTCTGAGCCCGCTGCTGCTGCACGACAATACTTATTTACGGTACTGTGAAGCAAAATGGCGGATTACTTGGCATGTTGGCTAGGTGTTATTATGGTAAGCCGATACGTGTCTGTTATGGTGTCAATCTCCCGCTGCAATAAGCTGGTATGAAGACACTAAGATGGCAGGGACCGTCCTGGTTGACGTGAAAAACATCACATGAGCTTTGTAGACTCATCGTTGGAGAGAGAGAGAGAGAGAGAGAGAGAGAGAGAGAGAGAGAGAGAGAGAGAGAGAGAGAGAGAGAGAGAGAGAGAGAGAGAGAGAGAGAGTGTGTATGTGTGTGCATTTTGTATCCGTGCATGTGGTAGGTTTAAAGCATTTAAGTTCAGAAGACAGAATGAATTAAAGGCCCAAAATCCCCTGAAGGCATGTACATCACCTGCTGTGTTTCATACCAGAGTTTTAAACTAAAATCATTTTATGTTGAGAGATGAAGGAGTTATAGCTGCTTTGTTTAAGTCTAGAAAGAAAAGAACGTGAGGCGTGAGCCAACAGAAAGTTGCAAGATCTCGAGCAATCTGCTAATGCTTAAAGTATGTGTTGTGAACGACTCTCAGCTACTACCATAATGAACTTTGGCTTGAAATCTGCAGTAATGATTGATTTAGAAACATCATTGACTAGAAAAGATGAATTAGATTAATTCCAATAGTTAATCAGTTGTAGATGTTTATCTAACTCATTCATTTTGAGTGTTTCATTAAAATGTGTCTAGTGATTCATGAAATGTTTGAAATGAAAAAAAAAAACAAGGTTAACTTGAACAGTGAAAGTCATATTATTAAGCAAAGGTCTTGAGTGAGGTTTAGTGTTCAGCAGTGACGGCTGGGGAAATAGATTGTTGGGGGGTGTGTGTGGGTGGGGTGCTAATGAACTAGTGATGGATCTAGAATGTTTCCGAGTGTGGGGACATGTAGAGGCCACAAAATGTATGGTAGTCCAACATCCTTACACATGATTTCATGCATGAACTCATTTTTGGCCCATTAGCACCTCCAGTGTTTGAATTTGGAATTACATCCACTTATAATACGATTGTCATGTGAAGGGCAGATGAAAGAAAGGACAGGGGGCCAATCAGATTCCAGGAGGGGCAAATGCCCCCGTAGAACCCCCAGTGAAATAAAGAGTAAAAAAATGACCACAATTCCAAAACAATGGCTTCTTTTTTTGCTTCAGACATTTGCTATTTCTAAAGGTTGCTATTTTTAAAGGTTGCAACCTTTAGAAATAGCCCCCCCCCCCCCCCCCCAAAATAAAAGCAATGAGAGAGTAAGATAGAAGCTGACACGCTGATCAAGCATTCCTGAAATAAACACACTCACAAGAAAATATAAGTAATTACCCAATAACAGTTTTATGCCACAATCGTTTATTTGGCTTTCACTCACATATTGCTTTTATTGATTCTTTAAGCTAATTTCCCCATTCTCTAGAAAGTGACTGGATTGAGATGTGTAAGAAATTAAATTGAACCAAAGAGTCAGTGTCTCTGCGAAGCAGCACTGAGAACGCCACACATTCTGATTTGTGAATGCATCTCCCTGCTGTTTTTCCTTTCTGTCAAGAGCGAGCCAGGAGCGAAGGATTACAGCCCACCTCAGCTCTGGAATGCCTGGTGGCGTCTACATCGTCGCTCTCCCATCGCCTCCTAAATACCACAGCTGGTGGTTTCAGTATTGAGAGGCAGTGGGCCACACAACTGTCGACTTTGCACTTCATTTATGATAAACTTAAGTCGCTCTTAATCTCCGCCTGTTGCCGTGTGTAGAACCAGTGTTTGGAACAACATGTTTATCTGGTGCAGAAGGGGAGTGGAGTGCGAGCCAGGGGAAGGCATCCGTTCACAGAGATAACCTGGAATATCTTCTCTCCCTCCGAGTGTTGCTCTGAAACTGGGAGTATGGTTGTGTTCATGTGTCTGAGTGCAGGGCCGTAACAGTGATTTATGCACCCTGTGCACAGAGCAGGTTTCTGGCTTGTTTTTTTGTTTTGTTTCCATCACTGCAGTTATGGCACAGAGTGTCAAAATCCACACAGCCACCATGCTGATTCTAAACATTCTGTCTTGCTGCAAAAAAATCCTTTATGCTTTTGTACAATGCTGTGAAAATGTATTGGCCCCATTACAACTTCGATTTGTTGCTTTATTAGTCATTTTCAGATTAACAAACAAATGTTAGTATTGGACAGGGTTAGGCGCTCGTCCTGTTTTGGTGGGTCGCTAGTTTGAATACAGGCTCTGTCCGTGTCAGTCCTTGGGCAAGGCTCTTCACACTCCTTGCCTGCTGGTGGTGCTGTCGTGTTGCCTTGCTTCTGTCAGTGCATCCCAGGGCAGCTGTGGCTATAGTGTAGTTCATCACCACGAGCGTGTGAATGCCTGAATGTTGCACTGTAGTGTAAAGCGCTTTGGAGTCCTCTGACTGAGACAGATGCAGGTCGTTTCTCATAACTGGTAACATTGTAGAGGGAGTATTTAATGCTCCTCTTTGCACAATTGTTTAATTCAGGCACATTGGATGGTTATCCTGGACAAACAGCTTGTTTAAGGTCAA